GGTCTGTTCATTTTTGGTGCTGTACGTAGATCTCACAAACCTTTTGGTAGAGTAGCGCGTCAACCTATGTACGGACAGGACTCCACGCCGCAGTCCGAGCGTCGAGCCCATCCTCTGTCGCTTGGAGTCTCCGGGTCTGCTGCCGACGGAATGCTCAAGTATCTCGATCTACACGGCCACCTTCTACACAAGTGGGGGGTGTGCGAAATTGTCGCGCTCATGATACGAACCTTGCATGACGGTGTTTGGGTTGCTGTCTCTGACGTGTGTTACACATCGTACTGGGGGTCGCCGGGGATGCAAGTTAGGCGCACTAATTTTCACTGGTGTCTACGGCATAGCTGTGCGTGTGATTCTCAGACAGCTCCAACAGAGAGGGGTACTGTTCGGTTGCCCTCCCCTGCTGATCCATTTTTGGCCGCTTCCCCGGGGGGTGTGACAACGGAGTCTGTCTTGGATGCAACTTTCATTGACGATGAAGCCCTCGTGATAGTGGCCTCGACCCCTCAGCAACTTGATCAAGGCATCGATGTTATTCTCGAGGTTTTGTTCTACATTTGACAAATTATACTTACAAGTGAACGCCCTCCCTGGAAAGACTGAAGCCCTTGTGGGGTATCGCGGTCCTCAAGCTACTGCTTGTTGCGAGGCCCGCCGTGATGCGAGTGGACAGTTGCATGTGCAGGTTCCGGGGAGAGATGTGCGCATCCGCGTTACGACTTCTTGCAAGCATCTTGGTACAGCAACCTCCCTTCGAGCGTGTGCCATAGATGACGCAAACGCAAAGGCCGCCAAGATTCTTGCTGCGTACGCACAGTTGACGCATACATTATTTGGCTCATCGCATGTTGCGCGCGCACAAGCTATACTTTACGCAGTGCGTGTTTCTATCGAAGCTTTTGCTCGGAGTGCATGTGCTCTTGCCGCTGGCTCGGCATTTGAAGCGACTGAATAGTGTATACATGACGGCGCTTCGTCGTATTTTCGAGGAGCCTCGATGTGAGCATGTGGAGCACTCGAGTCGTCGAGTGCGTGAGGCGTGACGTCAACCAGCAATAACATGTGTTGTCGCACGCCTGCGTTTGAAGTAGTGTGCCCGGCTGCACCGCACCAAGCCGTCGTTTTTGCTCGCCCTGCTAGTGCGAGACCGCGTGGGCGCAAATTACAATGGATCCAGGTCTTGGAACATGATGCTGCGTTCCCTCGGCCCTGCATCCCAGACGGCTTCTCTGCTATGTCAGAGGGCCCTGGGGCATGGGCGCGCTTGATGATGCAGGATGAGAACTCCTGGAAGGCACTGGTGGATCGTATTTTCTTTTGTGATTGTGTTTGCGACGCCCGCGCAGCGCCATTGGTGTTCCATTCACTTCTGCCCGCGGTTTGCTGAGCCATCAGAGAGCCAAGCACGGAGCTCGGCTCCAGATCCGTTGCTGCGTGTCTGGATCGCAGTGTCCCGCCTGCGGCACTGACTTTGCCCAGCGACTGCGATTGATTGCCGGCGTTTCCGATTCGAGGCGCCCGAAGTGCTGCGAGTGGATTCTGTCGGATTGCCATCGGCTCTCTGATGCCGCAGTTGCAAGACTTGATGGCGTCGGCCGTGCTCTCCGCGGGTCTGCGCAGCAAACTGGGCATAGCCATCGTTTGGCTGTGGCTCCTGCGCGCACCGCTAGTGGCAAGGTTACTAGCTGCCTGCGCGCCTGAATTGAATTCGTTGTGCTGGTACCATCTTCAGGCTGCGGTTCCTCGCCATATATATATATATATATATATCTGTATGTATGTATGTATGTATGTATGTATGTATGTATGTATGTATGTATGTATGTATGTATGTATGTATGTATATATATATGTGTGTATATATATATATAAATATACACACATACCAGTGGTGTTCGGCCCATCCCGCCACCGTGCCTGGGCTGTGGGTTAGAAGCCTCTTGGATGTTCGTTTGGACATCGTGGGAGGCCTTCCGGGGGCCTCTTGGAAGCAGTTTCGAGGCCTTTGGGGGGCCGCTTGGGGGCCTTTGGGGGCCTCTTGGGGTCTCGTGGGGCCTTTCGGGGGCCTCTTTGGCTCTCTTGGGGGCCTCTTGGGACGGACGTCTCGACCTGTCGGTTCGTGTTCCCCTTCTTGTGGCCGTCCTGGGGAGCTGTCGGGCGATCTTGGGCGCAAGGAGGCCTTCTTGGGGGCCTCTTTGGAGCCTCTTGCGCCGTATGGGGGCGGTCTCGGGCGCCCCTGGAGCCATCCATCTTGGAGCGTCGGAAGCCCGAAAACGCGATAACGCCGACAACATAGAATACCAAACGGAAAATCAATGGTTGTTGCTTCGTTGGGCCCTCTTGGGGGTCCTCTTGGGGCGCTCTAGGGGTTTGGGGGGGGCCTCCTGGGCCGTCTTGGGGCCATCTTAGGCGTCTTGGAGCACCCTTGGGCTGCCTTGGAGCATTCTTGGGCCCTCTTGGGCGCTTTCTCGGGCTCGCGTGGCCCGTTTTGGGGCCCTCCGACCTTTGAAAAAGTCACGCGAGGCAGCCCAAGAACGCGTGGGAATGCCGAGGGAATATGATAATGTGGGGCCCCAGGCCTTATAGTATTCTCATCCGAGGGTTCTGAGCACAGGGAAGAGAGGACACATGAGAGCCTGGGGGTAAGTTTACTTCGTGCCTCGACGCACGGTTTCAGAATGTGTACATATATGTCAAGTTGGTTTTTCCCCGTTCGTTCCCAGAACCTTTTTTCAGCCGATGTTTTTCAGCCCGCCCGAGGAAGTAGAGCTCAGAGGCGATTCGTGTATCGCCCGTCCGCGAAGTTCTCTGCCGTTTCGCTCGGGCCACCTCCAGCAGCTTGAACTTCCGACGTACTCCTCAGGCAGATCGCGACGTCAGGGTCCAACGGCATAGGGTGCCCAAAGAGTTTCGACATACCACCTGCAGCCACAATGGCTGTATACTTACACGTGGGGAAGCAAGTGTGCTTTCAATCGTTCCCTTTGAAGTTGCTCTGCCCGTTGTAACACAGTTGTCAACATTACAATGGAATCCAGCTGTGTTGCACGTGACATTTACACGTTCATGTGTGGGCTATTGTCTCCCAGTGGCGTTCCTTGGCTACAACCTGAATTTGATCCCTGGGCGCAAGTGTGTTTCGCAACATCCCGTCTAGTCGCAAGTTGTGGGAACTCCATCGGCGCTCACCTCCCAATTGCGTTTTGCATCAGCCTGGGCGTGCGAGAGAGACATAGAGGCAGCTACCTTGAGAGGGAGCGTGCGGTAAAGAGAGGAGGTGCTTCAACCTTGCCGTCTGCTACGAGGGGGGGAGAGAGTGAGAGAGAGAGAGAGAGTGAGAGAGAGGACGAGAGAGAGAGCTAGAGAGATATATAATGATATATATATATATAGATATACATACATATAGGGAGAGAGAGCGAGAGAGGTAGGGATAGACGGGGGAATAGAGAGGGAGAGAAATTGATAGAGAGAAGGAGCCATTTACATGTATACATATACCTACGTTACATGCAACTTACATGTTCAGAGGTACAAGTAGACATGCACACCTTCTCGGCGGCAGGGGGGGACTGGTGTCAGAGGCCGAAGGGAGAACACAATGTCCTTGGGAGCGAGTGCGTTTGAGCGAGAGAGAGAGAGAGAGAGAGAGAAAAAAAAAAGAAAGAAAAAAAGAGAGAGAGAGAGAAAGAGAGAGAGAGAGAGAAAAAAAAAAAAACAAAAAAAGAGAGCGTGTATGAGGAACTTGTATTCAGTCAGCTTCCCCTCTGCCACGGAGAGCCCGGGCGCCGTGCAGAAGGGCGCGAGACCGCCACGGCGGAGGCGCCACTGGCGACGATTTCGCCCCAGCCGCCGGCGTCGCCATTGGCGAACTCACAGTACACCTTAGGCGATGCTTAAGAAAACCTAAGTGTTCGGCCAGAGTCTCGATTATTCTTAACGTTTCCATGTAAATCTTCAGATTTTAATGGAAACGTTGGGTTGTTATTCAAAGTCTGAGACTATGAATTTCTTAACCCATGATTTCTTAAGCATTTCGCGTGGTGTAGCAGTTTTCGGCCCGACGCGTTCGCTCCAGACGCGCCGGCACCATCGCTTCTGGGCGGGGGGGGGGGGCTGACCTGGTCTTGATGCTTCCTGGGGGCAGGGGCCTCCCTTCGATTGGAGCGGCCCTGTGGTTCGAGCAGCCCCGAGCCTCGGTGCAGGCACGAGAGGTTGGCGGAGCGACCCAACCGAACCGCGAAGCCATCCAGCGGATTCAGGGATAGATGAGCTTCTCGAGCAGCGCAGGGAGCGCCCCCCTTGGGCGGTTCCCTCCGCGAGGCGGACTGGTAATCCGATCCGTGATGGGGATAAGTTGCAGGTGGCAGCGGTGATTCGGAGGTCGTCCTGCAGAGGCTTCTCCGTGCTGCCTGCCCCCAGGGATATCTCCGAGCGGGGTGCCAAGAAGCGTCTTGAGCGCCGCCACCCACCCTCTGCTGCAATGTATAGCGCATTCGAGCAGCTCGAGATAAGTAGAATGGCCGAAGGTGTGCAGCCCAGACTCATGCTCCTGATCAGCGTAGCCGTAGCCATCCGCCACCCCCTCCTCCCTCCCCCTTCTGCAACCTCCTCGCCCCGTGAGGTGTTTGTTGCTTTTCGTGGGGCAGACACATCTCCGTATCCGCGGTTTTTGCTTATCAGACAAAGCGGTGTTTGTGTTACACAAAAAATCCATATCCGCGGCCCCGCGGGCAGGCCCTTGGGCCGCGACCCCGCGGATACGGATAGTTTGTTCGCGGATGCCCCACGCGGATTGTATCAGGGCGACCGCATAACCGCGGGATCGCGTCCCGGAATCCAGACCGCGAGCGCGTGGTATATATATATATATATATATATATATATATATATATATATAGGTACGCTCGCCGTTCGTGAGTTGGTGTCTTTCTCCTCGGACCCTCTCTCTTGACACTCTGCCTCTCTCTCGCACTCTTCCCCGCGCCCCGCTCCCATAGGCGCAGGCGGCGCGGTGCCCCGACTGCGGCGGGGACATGGAGCTCGGAAGAAACATCGATTGGCACAAGCCTGACACCCTTGAGGCAGGAGGCCCTAAGCAGCTTCACGCATTTCACGATGGGGGGCCACGAAGCAGGGCCAGACCCATACTGTGTCTTGGAGATGTTGTTATCAGTCTTCGTTTTGATTTCGTGTTGTAGCACAGTCGGAACGTAGACAGAACGAGGGCCAACGAACAGTTTACATAATTGAGACACCTGTTTAGGTCAAGCCCTGCCTCGGAGGAGGGTCCACGATGGGCCACCGATCTCGTGGGCCCAGGCTCCCTCACTGGGCGTCCCAAACTGTCTCATAGAGCCCTCACAGACAAGCTGTTTGGGGAATGTATTTTCGGAGGTCCGCGCGGCGGATTTCTTGGATCGGCGCCTGGCCCCCCCCATAGCCACGCCTCTCGCGCCGCCCCTGGCGCGCTCCACGCGCCGGGGGAGGGGCTTCCAGCGGCGATCCAAGAAGTTCGCGCTGACTTCCGACAGTCCATGCATGGTTGTGCCGGCTTCTCTTCTATGAGGAGTGGAGCGACTTCGGGGGGGGAGACTACCAGGATGGCTGGAACTGCAGGAACATGGACAGGTGCGGCTGGAACGAGGAGCGCTCCGCCTGCAGGTGGTTCTGCCGAGCGTGCCCCGAGGACGTCTGTGAGGTGTGCATGAAGGAGGAGCAAGGGATCGCGAGGCCGCAGCCCGTGGAGGAGGCCGGCGCGGCCGGCATCACAAGAGCGAGGCAGCCAACAGGAGCAGCGACACTGCGACGAGCGCGTACTGCTTTCTGGGGGGAGAGGTCCAGACCTCCCACACGCTGTGTCTTCTTCACAGCGTGGTCGACCCGGTGTCTAGACCTTTTTCCCGAGACGGTCATGGGGCCCAGCCAGGGCCTCCAGAGCCCGAAAACCACCAAAAGATTCCCTTCGTAGTGTTTTCCGGCGAGCGGGGGTCCGGGTAGCAGAGACCTATTGGCCGGCGTCAACCAAACATTTCTATACATTACGTGCGCATTGTTCCAAGCAGTTTTGGTTCAAGTCATTTTGGCTCAAACAAGTGTACACCTTACATTCCCGTACCTGCTTAAATTCCATTCAAGCCCCTTAGCGCGTATCCGCGGCCGCTGCGATGTCCGGAGAGCGCTTCGATGTCCGAGGATGTGCCGTTCGGCGTGAGTTCGGACGAGGAAATGCAGGAGGGAGATGAAGATGTATTTCGGAATCGGGGGCGAGTTGTGGCATCAGTGGGGACCTCTCGGCCGGAAACGGCTGTCGAAGACCTCACTCAAAAGCACGGCTTGACGGGTAATTTCGCGAAGATGTGGGCGGCACAGAAGGAAATGACCGACAGCGCACTCAAGCAGGAGCTAAAGCCAATCAAGCAAGCGATCAACGTCCAGAGCAAGAAGCTGCACCAAGGTCGAACAGGCGCAGCAGGAGCACGGGAAGCAGCTGAAGGATTTGATTGATTGGCGAGCGAAGGTGGGAGCGGGGACTTCATCTCCCGCGGCTTCGGCAGCATCGGCATTAACGAGCAGCCTTGAGAGCCATGCACATGTCTCGATACATAAGCGCAAAGTTTGTGTCAAGTTTGAATGGAACGGGTCGGACCCGATTGTGCAGGACGTCAGGATTCAGCTTGTGGCGAAGAACGTCCCCTTCGAGAAGGTGGTGGGTTGTGGGGCCTACTGCTCCAGGGCCAAGGTCCACTTCGCGGACAATTCTGCCATGCGGTTTTTCGGGAAGCCTGCAAGTTGACCTCTACCTTGGCTGATGTGTCTCGGCCAGTCGCTCCAGAAGATACAGCCAAACGTGCCTTTGGCACGGGATCGGCAAATTCGAAGACGAGATCGAGCTGTCCAAGAAGACTGGACGGGCCCGGGCGAAGATGCAGGAGTTCATCGTGACCCAGGGCAAGACGCCAGACCAGGCCAGGCGCACCGTGGACAGCAACGACTACGGCGATGTGATCATCAATCTGTCGGAGCTTCGTGAAGGGGCCTTGCCGGTGAAATTTTACGAGGCGGATAAGGCTGCAGGGAAATTCCGGGTGGCGCAGGGTGCGAGGGAGAAGATGGAAGCCGCCGGCCTGCAGCTCGATCCGAGCAAGGGGTTGGATGACATCAGTGCCCCGTGAACGGGTCCAGGAGGGGCCCGACGACTGCGCAGGGGATGCGTGGGACATTGTTTACGTGCGGGATACAATATGGAAGACATCCGGGCGCAGGATTTAGAGTCATGTTTACGGAGTTTCTCTCATGAGGGCGATTTGCATGTTCTGTTAGGGCAGGAGTTGGCCAAGACATACATTTTTCCTAGCAGTGTTGAGGGCCACATGTTGATCACGGGTGCGACTAGTGGTTTTGCCAGGATCCCTGGTGTAATCGTGTGTGAGGAGTGGACCAACTACTCCACTGCTGCCAAGCCGATCTTCCAGGGCATGTCCGTGGGACTTCTGCTGTCACCCCCTCAGCTCGGCCAATTGTTTTTGCTTAGCGCTGAGTGCGACGTCGTATCGTGATGGCTTCCGCGATTGTTCGAATTCCTTGCAATATCTTTCGAATGAGTGTTCACGTGGAGCTAGTGTCATGCGCAGCGTCGATACCAATACTACCCTGGAAGGCATGAGGTGCAGTCTGGTGGGCCCGTATACTGGGACTACTCCAGCAGTCCACCCATGGAAAGCCGCTGTGCTGATGGAGCTGGTGCGCGCCGAAGGTTTACGAGCAGAGAGAACTTCCGGGCAGGGCGACGATGGGAGCGACACGTTTCTCCACAAGAGCGCACACCGAATGGGGCAGAGCGGTTGCAGTTTGCTTCGGGGCCCAGCCTTCCGGCAAACCACTGCAGTCGTTCACGTGACGACGGCGCATGCGTCGGATCATTTTCCCTTGCTCGGTCGTGCCCGTGTGCCGGGAGGGCTCAAAGACGCTTGGGAGGGCGATGGAGACGCAGCTCTGCCGAAGAAGCCGTTATGTTGGACGCCATCTTCGTCCGTCGATTACAAGGCTGGCATTTTGAATCACTTCTGGACACCTTGTCCGTCGGAGTGCTATTTGTTCGTCGCGTCACTTTCCTTCCTCGCTCCTCTCCTGCCGCTGCCGCCGCTGCCGCCTTCCACCATCCACCATCGTGATAGTTTTCAAGATTCGCTCTGTCGGGAGCTGCGCTCGAGGTGGATTTCCGAGTGCAAGGGCTTCATCGCTCTCTCCTTCCTCCTCCTCCTCCTCCTCCTCCTCCTCCTCCTGGGCATCTGAGGGCGAGGCTCAGAATGCATTGTCATTCGTGGTTTCACTTTGTTGCCCCAACTTTGGGCAAATGGCCGGGCAATGGATGTCGCGAGTAGCTTTTGCTTGTCCCGGCCGCGTGGCCGATGCATAAATGTGCCCTTTCAGGATGATGCGTTTTGTGGGACATCGTATCTTCAGGCAGGTCTGCCTTTCTCCCCTCTTCCTTTCTCCCCCCTTTGCCCGAGTCCGGGTCTATTGCAGGTTTTTGCCTTCATCTCTGCCCTGTGGCCGGCTCTCGTCGCGCGTTCATTCCCCTCAGCTTTCCTCCTTCTCCTCCCACAATAGCGTTTGAGGGCGGAGGAAAATGTTGACATTTTGCATCGATGCGAACGCCCAGAGAGTGCAGGCCGTTATCTCCAGGAGTGGTCTTCGACAGGTTTTCGGGCCATTTTCCGACGGTCGCTTCAGATATGCTGGCAGGGCGGAAGCGGGCTTTGGACCAGCAGTGCGGATGAGGATTTACGTTGCTTCTCAGTGGCCATCCGGAGATCTGGGAGACACCTCGGGTGGAGATGCGTGGTCCGACGACTACTTGTTGGATGGATCCTTTCTACGTAGGTCCACCAAGGCTGAGCAACAATACGGGCGAGTTGCAAGCCGCGCTGAAAGCCTTACTCTGGCCAATGCATCAATGCGGCACGGATGGGGCAGTAACACCCTTGAACTCCAAGGTGCATCTGTTGTTGGGCGAGTTACGCCCTGTACGGAACCTGGTGTTTATCGCAGCTCTGCAGTCGGCATGGTCCCAGTGTTGTACCTTATTTAATCGCTTCGCTCATTCCGCCGGCCCGTATTGCGCGGCCCACGGCAGGCCGAGAGCGGCGGAGGACCGAGAGAACGGCGAAGATCGATGGAGAACTCGTCGTCGTCGTCTTCTGGCCAGCGCTCCTGTCCAGAGGCCGTTCTTCGAGGAAGAAAAAACGCTATAAGCTTAAACTTTCGGGGGTCCGCGCGGATTTCTTGGATCGGCGCTGGGCCCTTCCGGCGGCGCCTCCGGCGCCGCTCTTGGCGCGCTCTGCGCGCCAGTGTACGTATAAGGTTTTTTTTCCTGAATCTAGTTTCTCTTCAGACTCTGGCAAGTTTATTTGCACGGAGGGGGTCGGGCAAGGCCCCGAAGGAGATCTGGAATCGCTCAGGCCGAAACCCACTTGCACGCTGTACCGGCCTTGCACTGCCTCGTGAGGCGGCGGAGCCAAAATCCCATGCAAGCGAACCTGCCTGAATCCAGTGACGCGCTCTCCCGAACATCGGCTCAGAATCGAGCCCCGGGCTTCCAACGTGGTCCGTCCGGCTCGGCTCTTTCGCCCCGGATCGATGTCTGAGGGCCCCAGGGCCCGACATTCGGGTGAACGTAAAGGGGGGTGGCCCAGACGGGGGGTGAACTCGGACGGCCTCGGAGGCGGCGCAGAGGAGGTCTGAAATGAAATGTGATTCAATCGTTTCGCTCACTCCGCTTGTCCATATTGCATGATCGCGCCGTGGTGGGCTAGCCGAGTTTTGGGGCCTGTTGAGGGCCGTTTTGGGGCCTCTTGGGGCCTCTTTTGGGCCTCTTGGGCGCCTCTTGGGGCGTCTTGGGGGCCTCTTGGGGGTCTCTTGGGGCCTCTTTGGGACCTCCTGGGCGGCTTCTGGGGCGGAGGGCTCGATTTTTCAGTTCTCTGTATCCCTCTTGAGCCCCTCTTGGGCCCGTCTTGGGGCCTCTTGGTCCGTCTTGGGCGGCACTTGGGCCGTCTTGGGGGCCCTCTTGGGCCGTTTCGGGGCCGTCTTGGGAGCTTCGTGGGCCGTCTTGGAGCGATCTTGGGCGCCTCTTGGGTCGTCTTGGAGCGTCCGGAAGCCGAAAAAGCCAGAACGCAAAAAACATCGGAAAAAACCAATGAAAATCAACGATTTTGGCTTCTTGGGGCCCTCTTCGGAGGCCTCTTGGAAGGCTCTTGGGGCGTCTTGAAGGCCTCTTCGGCTGTCTTGGGGGTCTCTTGGGCCGTCTTGGGGTCATCTTCGGCGCCTTGGAGCGCTCTTTGAACGTCTCGGGGGCCTCTTGAGCAATCTTGGGGGTCGGCATGGTCCCAGTGTTGTACCTTATTCGCGATGGGACGGCCGCAGTGGCGTACATCGCACCGTGGAGGTGTCGGTAACGAGTACGCTGACAAGTTGGCAGAAACAGCTTACCGAGTCACTTGTCGCCCTTCTACTCTTTGGAAAAATTTGACGAGGACTAATTCCATCACCGTCTCGCGGTCTCGCGGGCCTCGAGCTACCGGTGATGTTGGAGCGACGCCCGTTTGGGCCGCAGCTGGACCCAGAGCGCCCGCGTGGCATACGTCCAGAGAGCGGGGTGGCGATCCCGTCCGATGAGCAAGACCCCGCGCGCCTTCCAGCTCCCTCCCGAGCTGGCGAGGACTTGTATGCGGGGCCGTCCATGCGGGAGCTTCTCAATATGTTCGGAGATGCAAGCAAAAAGGGGGGGCCGCCGAGAAGGCGCCCCGCCCCTCGGCTACCGCGCGCGCGTCACCTCATCAAGGATCTGACTATCGTGATGAACTTACGTTTTTCTTCTCCTTTACTCGTTTGGCTTGCGTGCGCGGCGCGGCCGCGTTCGACCTCAACCAGCAGATTCCGAAGCATAATTATGGTTTGCGGAGCGAGGGCGCGATGAACCAGGGTCGTTCTACGACCCTTGGCCGGCGCAGCCGCGCGCGGGCGCGAGAATTATCGGACGAACAGGGGCAACGTATTACATCAGCTACAGCATTACAGCACGCGGCCACGCAATATTATGCTTCTCTTTACAATAGCTTGGGTTCTAGAGTACCACCGACTTGGATACATCGGAGATGGGTTTCTTCGGAGTGTGAACCCTGGCAAAACCGCCTCACGCCTTAGCGCCTCCGAAAAATGACGATCATGTTCAAAGTTGGGAAAGCGTGTGGCAGAGACGATATGGTGACAGCTGATATGCCACTGGCATTGCCGGAGGACAGGTTCGACGACATTTGCAAACTCCTCAAACTCCGCATGCGGAACGCCGTGGACGACGACACCTTCGCGTCTAACGAGATCACGTTGGTCGGGACAGTTACGAACCCTAAGAGGATGAAAGAGTGGCGGCCACATGCGTTCTTGTCTGCGATGGCGGAATTGCACAGCATGGCCCTGGGTGATACTGGAGGTCTGACAGAGCAACCTCTTTTCGAACATCAATTTGCTTTCAGGGGTAGTCACCAGGCTGCGGAGGTCCAGTTTGTGCTCCGGCAGGTGATCGAGAAGGCGATCGAGTTTGACAGGGACGTGTTCTTTCTGGATGGCGACGCGTTCAAAGCTCACGGTTGTGTAGACCACGCAGCGCGGGCGAGATCGTCCGACAACCGTGGAGTGCCACACATCGTCACGGCAGCTAATATCCAGGAGGTTCGACGAAGCGCAGCGGCGGCGAAGTTGCCTGGATCACCGCCAGTGGAGGCTATTCGTGGAACGAGGCCCACGTTCCCCCGGGCAACTCACAACTTCAATTTGATGCTAGACACGGAGGTCATATCGTCGTTCGCTCGGCAGGCTGAAGCACAGGGTTGGGGCGTATAGCTCTTTCCTGAGGATCTCACAGCTTTGGAGGCGAGCGTGGCCCAGCGCCCTGTCAAGAAGGCAAACACCGAACTTAACGCGCACCATCGGTAGTTTTCGCGGACAACTTCTGGCAATTAGCAGAGTCGCGCATGCAGATGCAGGCGACGTTCTCGAAATTGTGCGCGCTATTGGACCAGGCCAGTCTGAGCACTGACGTTGCGGCGTGCTCGTGGTCATCCACAGTCGTATTCCCCCAGGGACAGGCATTGTTGTCCCGAACATTTGACCCGGCATATTTTCGACTCCGACGACGTCGCTGACAGTGTGCCGTTCAAGGCACGGGATACAGCGATGAACATACAGCGATCAAGATAGCTTTTTCCGGCGGCTGCGCGGCGGAGATCAAGTGCCGCATCGCTTGGGCATGGGCCGCATTTCACAGCCGTGCCAAATTGCTCCTGTGCATGCCCGCTCCGATCATGAAGCGCCTCGACAAGTTGCGCGCCCAAGTACTGTCAGCGCTGGAATACCATATCGGTACTTGCCATGTGTCGAAGAGTCATTTGTTACATCTACGTGGAGTGGAGCAGGTGACGATGCGTCGAGTGTTCGGGCACCGTCTGTCATATTTCATTGGCCCGCAGGCGGACGTCCAGGATTACATAGCCATTTCAGCTCAGAAGCTCAAGAGGTACCGACAGAGGGGCTCCTCGCACAGATGGGAAGAGGAAACCTTTTTGCGAACATGCAGTTGGGCCGGTCATGTTGCGCGGATTGCAGCACGAGCCCCAGCGCGGCTGGCGGGAAAAGTGTTGCACTTCCGAGGAGCAGCTTATCTCCACCGCGTGACGCAACTGTATGGGCACCAGTGTCGTTATCGTCGGTTCCACGTGCGAAGATGGGAGCAGTTCTTCTCGCGACGTTGGGGCTCGACTGGCAATAGTATGGAAGGCGGAGGGAACTATGGGAATCTATGGCAGCACAACGGCTACTATCCACGTCAAATGCAAATATACTGACAGAGGCCGCTTGAACATTCAGTGGTTTCTAGCACACTTGAGTTCTTCTGCCCAGCTAATGCGTTGACGCCTGCTCAAGCTTAGCTATTATTATCATCATCATCGTCCTCATCCCCCTTATCATCACCATCCTCTGCCAAAAGCAGATTCCCTTTGAAGACTTGCCCCCATCCGTATCCGCGGCCCCGCGGGCCAGGCCGTTGGGCCGCAACCCCGCGGATCAGGGCTTCTTTTTCGCGGATGCCCCACGCGGAATGTATCCGTGCGACCGCGTATCCGCGGGATCGCGCCCCGGAATCGAGGCTGCGACGGCGTGGATGTGTGTGTGTACATTTATGTGTATATATATATACGCACACATATATGACGGTACACTCGCCGTACGTGAGTTGG